GGGCGAGACGCAGCGCGGGGCGGGGGTGCTTCCGCAGCGCGGGACCCCGCTTGGCAGCCTGCACCCCAGCTCCCGCGTGGCCGCCACTGCCTTGTCTGTCGCCCGCTCGGTGCGCTGCGCCCAGCCCTGCTTTGCGCCTCTGCGCTCGGTCCTCCGCTCCTGTCCTCTGTGTGTCTAGCAGGCAGAGGGGCTGTTCCCCCTCGTCCACTGCAGGCGGTCCCGGCCACTGGCTCGTCAGGTTCTGTGGAGAACCTGGCGGGTGTGCGCGGGGGCTTCTCAAGTAGCAGGCGCCAGTGCCTGGTTTAATCTTACTTGTGAGAAAGTTTAATTTTTCGGCTATAAAAGGCTAGAAGGCTCCTTAATTAGAAGGTGTTGCCAAGTTGTAAATTGTCAGGTTGCAAGTAGGGATGAGAATGCCAAGTTCCTGTCTGTAGGTCTGAGGACGCTTGCTTTAGGGTGGAAGGGAGGGGCCCAGTGTGTGTGTGTCTGTCTGTGTCTGTCTTGCAGGCTGCGGTTTCCTTCTGTGCGCAGACCTGGCGGTGGTTAGCTTTTCATCTCCTGAGACAATCCTGCCGGGAGCTGCAGCAAACTTGGCGTTGTTTTCCTTATCGAAAGACTGCAGTTCTAGCGTTTCTGGTTTCCAGGTGCTGCTTTTTCCTTAGGATGAGAAAGAATTGGACACACTTGGAGAAAGGGCTAGGCGTTGGGAGGAGTGGCAGGCAGTTACGAACTATTTATGTTAGGGAAAACAGCAAGAGCTGCTGGAGGTTTGGTAGTGCGACTCCTGTTTAAGTAATCTAAGTAGTAGTCCTGGCAAGTCCTCAGGGTCCCAGATGCTTGCCTTGGCTTTCCCGCATCCAAGAATCAGGTCTGTATAATGGCTTCTCAGGGAAAGGAGTTTCCTCCTGTTTTAACTCAGTAATTCTAGAATGTTCAACTCTCCTTCCATTTAGGTGCTTACAATCTTAACGAGGTCATATAAATGCTGGTATTTTTTTTACCTCTCAGGAAAAATTTCTTTTTTATAATTATAATAGTAATTATTATATATATGTACAAAAGGATTCAAATTCCATGTCAGGTTATGAGAACAATGTTACTTGGTCCTTGTTATCCCTTCATTCTCTCTCTCCCTTTCCTACCCCTACATAGTTCATTTTTTATTGTTATTATTAAGGAGTTCAAATTCCACAACTCAGGTTATGAGCACAGTGCTTCTTGATCAGTGTTACTCCTTCTCGTTACATAGTTCTTTTTTTTTTTTTTTTTACATAACCTATATTGAATATAAGGACTACATTTGTTTACCCCTCTTCTATTCCTGTGGAAAATTCCTTTTGGTATCTATGAAACTTCTTTATTGTTTACCAGAATACTTCTATGTAGTTCCATTGCGAATTTTAGGTGAAGAGATACAGTTTTTGACAATCTTTAGGCCAAGCGTGATGGTGCATTCTGTGATCCCAGCACTTGAGATGCTGAGGAAGGAGGCTCTTGAATTGGAGGCTTGCCCAGTCTGAATAGCTAGATCCTGTTCTCTAGCTCTCTCACACACACCTTAATATACTTATATATTTACTTGCAGTGAAAAGTTTACTTTTGGTAAAAATGTTAACTTAGAAATATATTTTAATATTTACTGGAATGTCATCAGACGTCATCTATACTTCAGTGAAAGGAGAGACGAATGGTTAATTAGAAATAATTTTGTTAGTTTCAGTGTATTTTCACACATTCTATACTTTATAGTCATATATTAACCTCTCTTTTCTTACCATATGGGATTATTAACTTGTAAAATGAGGTGAGACCAAACAATGATGAGACGAATGAAACATAATATATGTCACTCTTAGGTAGCTGAAACTGTTATTAAATACAAAACTATATGCAAGTTCCATTTTCTTTTTTTTAAATCACATATAAGGGAGACTGTAGTACAAGTTAATGAATTAATGAATTTTATTTTCAGTATGATGCAAACATAATTGTTTGTTTCTTAGAGGTTGGCGTAATTTTTTTTCTAAATTGACCTGACTTTTCGAGGAACATGATGATTTTTAATAAGATATTTAAAAATGTCATTAATGGTTCACAAGAAGCTTTTTTTTGTGGACTTGTGAACTTTTAGAAAAAACACTATTTGAAACATATTTGTTTTCATATTATTCAAGTTTCTCTTATAATAATTCAGTGTGTTAAGATAAATGTCAGCTTCACATTTTCTAAATGGTAGCTACCAGTCTGGGAATGTGGCTTAGTGGCAGAATGCTTGCCTAGCATGCCCTGGGTTCCATTCCTCAATACCACATAAATAGAGAAAACTCCAAGTGGTGCTGTGGCTCAAGTGGTAGAGTGCTAGCCTTGAGCAAAAGAAGCTCAGGGACAATGCCCAGGCCCTAACTTTAAGCCTCAGGACTGGCAAAAAAATAAATAGCAAATACCTTACTTTTCTGCATTACTTTAATTAGATATGAAATTTAATATTTTTCTATAGTTAAACATTTTTCTAGTGTGAACATAGGGACCATATTGTTTGGTTTCTATTTACTGTCAGCAGTAAAATCATGGAAGAGGTTATCGATTTGGCCTTAACTTTTTCTTAACTTTATCTGCAGGTAAGAATTGACTATACCAGCAAAAGGATGATTAAGCATTTTCTAAGTACAGGGTTTTGTGAAAGTGCTTCATAATTATAATGTGAATATGTTCCAGATTATGTTAATGACCACTCTAACATCATTCTGTATTTCCATTTTAATGTGATGATGTTATGCCATTTTGTTTTAAAAGTACTTTATAATTTTACCATGGGTAATGTCTTCTGAAGTGAGGATTAAACATGCTCTGTGTGTATATTTATGTGTGTGTTTCTACCCCCTAAATTGTCTTTATCATCAGTGTGCAGCATTAATTTTTCTCTATATACATGCTCAAGTTATGTGTCCTTTCAGTGTAAATCCTTGGAAACAATGAGAATTTTGATAGATAACCTACATTTGATTCTTCTCTGAAATGAAGTCATCTTGGTCTGGTTCTTCTGATGAATGGTTCTGTCAATGTAGAAAAGGCCATATTCTCTAAAGAGAATGATAAAGGAGTGGTATGAAAATGGCTATGTATTAAACTATCTTGGATACAGTTTATTAGTGTTTTTAATTGCTAAGAATCATTCCCTGTTTTTGTCATGCCGTTAACCATTAATTGATTATGTGTACATTGATTGCAGGCCAGCTTTGTACCTTGCTATGTGCTAGTGATACAAAGATGAAAAATCCTTGTCCTATATATATATAGTACATTATGATAAGTGGAATAATGCAGGTATGAGTGCCCTTGGACTGTAATCTGTAATACCCTTTGATCTGTATGCATGCCTTACATCTATATAGAAATGGCTCTTTATTCTGAGAAATACAGAAATGCCAGAAATAAATGTAGATCTCTGGATTTACATGTTAATGGGTTATTTGCAGAAAGTCCCAGGATGTCTAGAATATGTGGAGGGAACTAATGAAAATCTTTCTCTGTGTCTGTGTTTTGCTTTGTGGCAGTCATTTAGAATACCTTTTCTGTGCTACATATGCTCCATTTTCCCCTCCAGATCTTTTCTCCACTCTGCTCTGTCCTTTGGGAAGCACCTTCCATTGACTACCTCAACTGAACCCCTGCTTTTTTAAAGAGCCAGTTCCCTCCTGATGGATTTGTGTGGCAAGGGCTTTCTGTGTTCTGTGAGTAGGTCACAACTCATATTCAATAGCCCTCTCTGTCGCCTCACTACAGTTACAGATGTTCTGGTAACCTTTCTCATTCTTTTGGACTTAGAGATGTTAATTTTTTTTTGGGGGGGGGCGTCCGGTCGTGGGCCTGAGCTCTGGGCCTGGGCACTGTCCCTCAGCTCTTCACCTCCAGGCTAGCGCTCTACCACTTGAGTCACAGCGCCACTTCCGGCTTTTTTTTTT